AATCCGCCTCCTCCCTCAATGTGGAGGAAGGTATGCACAACCTCTTAATCCCCCCTCCCCAATTATGAATTGCACAAACAGGGTTATATTATAAACAAGAAATAAGTTTATTAAAAGGTGAATTTTAAGTGGTTAAAGAGATAGCAAACAGAACAAAAGAGATTATTAAGCAAACAAAACACATATGCTAAGGTTGTTTCACTAAAGAAATTGGTTACAAATAGTAATTTCTCATCCTAGATATTGTTGCAGGCAGATTACAGAAAGGCTTGAAAGGCAGCTGCACTGGTCTCCAGCTTGAGACCTCAGGTATTATTACTCAGAAGCTAGACACCCTTCCAGCTTGGGATCAACCCTTCTCCCCCCAGTTCAGTTCTTGGTTCCATGTGTTTTTCAGTGTCTTTTTGGGTGGGGAGGCAGAGAAGAACCATGATGATGTCACTCCCCTGCCTTATATAGCTCTTGTGTAAGGCGGGAACACTTTGTCTTCCAGTGGAAAAACACTGGCATTCCAAAAGGGGAGGTGGGGTATTAGCACTGTCTGGCTTTCTCATTGTTGTAATGGCCCCCTGTAGCTCCCACTGGCCACAGTTCGCTGTTCCCAGCCAATGGGAGCTGAGGGAAGCAGCGGCCAGCACATCCCTACGGCCAGCCGCTTCCCACAGTGCCCATTGGCCGGGAACGGCAAACCTCAGCCACTGGGAGCTGCAGGGGGCCATGCCTGCGGATGGTCAACGTAAACAAAATGTTGCGTGGCCTGCCAGCGGATTACCTTGATGGACCGCGTGCCGAAGGTTGCCGACAAACACCTGTCAGGGATGATCTAAGTATACTTGGTCCTGCCTCAGTGTGAGGGGCTGAACTAGATGACCTCTCAAGGTCCCTTCCAGCCTTATATTTTTATGATTCTATGAGCTTTTTGTTAGATCCCTTTATAGGAATACTGCCAGATCAAAATTGGCCCAGAGTTTACAGTTTGTAAAATTAAGCTTTGACCAAAAGGCCAATAGAAATGTTTCCATGATTTGATTTAAATTCTTACTGAAACAGTTTTGGTTTTGACAAATTAAACATTACCCTGCAGAGTTTGCAACCCAAACATCATAGCATTGTGTCAGTACATGAAACCTGAAAGTGACATTGAATAGAAACAAAAATGAAAAACTCGTTAGTGTATCATGAGAATAATGCAAAGGGTAAACAAATCGCATAACTAGTGAAAAGTATAATTAAAATCCTTTCAGTTTTACTAAAAGTGTTATTTATAACATAGCTATGACATATGTTTATATTTAACTATGTGGTAACAGATTATCTACTCCTGTGGAAACCACACCCCTAGGAGGGCTCTAGTCTCTAAAATAACCATTCTGTGATTCCTCCCCCCACATCATTCAGTAAGAAGTGGAATAGGCTGTGCAGTCTGCTTCAGTGTTGGCATATCCCTGGGCAGACATGCCGACTTTGGGATTTCCCGGGGGGTGCTGGACTCCCCCTAGCTGCAGCAGCCCCCAAGGAATCCTGGGGGAGGATTTAGCAGAACAGGAGTGGAATACAATATCTGTCCTATTCCCAGGTGAATCACAGGCCCACAGGGTACCCATGGACCCACAGAATTGATCACCCTCCTCACAGGTTGGTCCCCTCCATGTGCAGATCTGGGGAGGAGGGACAATTGCAGGACCATGAGCTTTAAACCTCACAGTGTCACTTTAATGAAAAGCTATTTTGAAATGCAGATTGTTTGCCCTAAGTTTCTATTTCTATTGTAACACTTATCTGAAATATTTCCATTTAATTGTTAATCGAAGAAGGCCTCTAAAATTGTGGGTACTGTTTCTGAGCCTCTATTTTTGATGCCCAATTTTCTGTATTTAAGTTTTTAGGTGAACAAAACTTGGCTCTTTAGCACAAACAGCAATTTGGGCATGCCAATCAACCTGATTTCTGTGCTGAAATACAGTAACTCCTCGCTTAATGTTGTAATTATGTTCCTGAAAAATGTGATTTTAAGCAAAACAATGTTAAGCTAATCCAATTTTCCCATAAGAATTAATGTAAATGGGGGGGGTTAGGTTCCAGGGAAATTTTTTTCACCAGACAAAAAACTATGTAATTAATATATATATATATATATATATATATATATATTATATATACACACAGTATAAGTTTTAAACAAACAATTTAATACAATGATGATTGTGAAGCTTGGTTGAGGTGGTGAAGTTAGAGGTGGAAGAGGGTGGGATATTTCCCAGGGAATGTCTTACTGCTAAATGATGAACTAGCATTCGGCTGAGTCAGTGGCGTAGCCAAGTGAAGGGAAGAGAGGGAGCGGGGGAAAAAAAGGCACCACCCGCTGCGGCACTTTTACTAACGGGGCAGCGCTCTGGGTCTTCGGCAGCACCTCGGCGGCGGGACCTTCATTTGCTCCGCAAGTCTTCGGCGGCACTTCGGTAATGAAGCTTCAGTGCCGCCGAAGACACCCAGAGCGAGTGAAGGTCCCGCTGCTGAAGTGCCGCCGAAGACCCGGAGCGCTGCCCCATCAGTAAAAGCGCTGCAGTGGGTGGCGCCCTTTTTTTTTCCGCTCCCGGGTGAGTAAAATTAAAAAGGCACCACTTGTGTTCGGTGGGGGAGTGGCCGCTGTCCGGCTCACACCCTAGCTACACTACTGGGCTGAGCCCTCAAGGGTTAGCACATTGTTATTAATGTAGCCTCACACTCTACAAGGCATCACAAATAGAGGGAGGGGAGACAGCATGGCAGACAGAGACAGAGACACACACCCTGTGTGTGAGAGAGAGATGCGCATTGCCACTTTAAGTACGCTGACACCACCCTAAGTACATTGCCTTTTTAAGTAGATCAGGAAGTTGAGACAGCAGCTGCGGCCCACAAGCTCCCTCCATCCTGAGCCCTGTCGTGTCCCCACCCTGCTCTATATGGAGAAGGGGTAAGCGGGGAGCAGGAGCAGGGGGGAGGGGGACACCCTGACATTAGCCCTCCCCCTTCCCCCACTCCTCCTGCAAGCAGGAAGCTCCCGGGAGAAGCTCCAAGGCAGAGGGCAGGAGCAGCATATGGCAATCGGGGGAGGGACAGCTGAACTGCCGGCAATTGATAGCCTGCTGGGCGGCTGCCGCACAGGGAACTTAGGGGAGCAGGGAGCTGATGGGGGGCTGCCGGTCCACCCTGGTTCCAAGCCCCCACCAGCTACCTGCAACGGGCTGCTCTTCCTACAAGCAGTGGACAAAGCAGGCAGCTGCCAAACAACGTTATAAGGGAGCAGTGCGCAGCT